CATCTTTCTAAATATGTTGCAATAAAAACTTCGCCAAACCAAAATAAAATGAACAATTTAGGAGGTTGAGCCATACCTTCGGGTTTCTATAAGCAGAACTAAAGGAATCCATAGTTTTTTGTTAAGTTTTTGGGTTTTGGGTCTTCATCCAGTTGTGCTCAAGGGTCACTCCAGTGGATGCTTAAGGGACCATATGTGGTGCAGCAAAGGTGAAACGGGTCGGTCACATGCAAAACAAGTACCTGAATACCCTCTATTATCTCTCTGGCACAGAATCCATATTCTCTTTTTTTTAAAATTGATGAAAAAGAGATTTAATGGAGTTTAAGAGAGTTGTCCAAGATTACAATTGACAAGATGTTGGAGTCAGAATTCAAACTCAGTCCTTTTTATTTCCTCTATCACAAAATTTCTAAACCAAAGAGAGACAAACCCTCTTTGAAGATTTTGGGTTTGTCAGAAGCCATATTCTTAATATATAAATAAATAAATATATTTTTATAGTTGTTCACAATTACTGGGTATCAACCTAAAACTCTTAGGAGTTTTAGGCTTCACCAGTAATTGCCCCTTTCCTTCTCCCAGAATTTACAATGCCCTTGCTAACATCCCTAATTTGGTTAAAGTCTATCTTCAACCTTTCCTTTGTGTTGTATATTTACCCTAAGTGCTTTAGGCTTCATCAGTGAATTGCCCCCTTTCCTCCTCCAAGAGAAGATTAACACGCTCTTGCTAGCATCCCTAACTTAGTTAAAGTTTATCTTTAACCTTTCCCTTGTATTTTACATCTCATTATTACAGTTTCCCAAGTCAGTCTTGATTACAGTAAGCCAAAACTTTCTGGCAATTCTGAACTTGTATTTGTACTGCTTTGTATTTGAAGTGCTGTATGTTTGTACCTGCTTTTCTATTTCCCCTATAGCCTTTTTATATTTTACTATAGAGCAATGTTCTTTGGTTAAACACAGAAAGACCACTAATGCTATGCTCCTAAAAATATTTGGGAGTTGATTGACTCTGAAATATATCTGTTCCTGGGCTTAATTACTTGTCTCAGGCTTCAATTGCTGTAGTTCCCAACACCCCAAAAGGGAGGTCCTGCCATGGGACTGGGATGGACCCAGGGAGAGTGGCAAAGCTACCTGGCATTGAAATGGGGCCTTCTAGAAAGCGTAAATGAATGGTCTTGATGCAGACTGTTACAGCTTAAGAGACAGGACCCCCACGGAGAAGGACAAGCTGAACCGGTCTGAGGACTTAGTCTGGGATTTTAGGTAAAAGCCTTGCTTGCTCTCAGAGCCCAGAGAACTAAGTGTTAAAAGCCTTGCTTGCTCTCAGTCCAGAGAACTAAGTGTTGGGATCTTTGTCTCTTACTCTGTTTACCCAAACAACTGCTAGTACTGATAATTTATACAACGAGAGGGAAAGATAAAAGCAATGTAGATGACCCTGGGAGACAGAGTGTCTTCTTGAGTTGATCTCCCCAAGAGAATTTCCTCTGCCAAATGTTTATCTATGTAAATGACCAATCACACCTATGTCCTTACCTCAACCCCCCTTCAGATGTTCTAGAAGTATGCTAGCAACTCTGCATTAGACGGGCCATTTTCACCATCAGTCTGTGGTCCCTATTTCTTTGCTGAGGATTGGAAACAGCTCTCACCTAATGCAGGCGTCATTGCACCATCTGCACCACTTTGTGAATTTACACACATTGATTTATTACATTCAGTATTCCAACACCAATCCCATCATTATTTCCAATTTTCCCCAACACCATCCAAGTCTGCCCCAACAGCAGGCCCTAAATAATTTATTTTGTGTTACTTGTTATGAATAATTTATGAAGGTAAAGGTAAAGGCCCTCCCGTTGATCGTCGATTTGCTCGAGCGGGCCCAGTAATTTATGAAAAATGATCAAAAAAGATTTCCTTATAAGAAAGTGTGTGAAGACTGTTGTATCTCACACTGGAATCATTAATTCTTATACAAGAGATTACTAACATGTTGTTACAGATTGAGCCTTGTGTACTAATATTTTCTTAACCAGGATTGGTTGCCTTCTTCTACTTTACATCCCATCCATTGTGGTGTGCTACTCCTGGTATACCAGTGGTATAGAGTATGAGATGTCGCTCCAGGTATTCTAAAATTTTGAACGGGGCGAAATAGCTGGAGTTAAATTTTTAACTGAATAGTGTGACTTTGGGGCCCAGAAGCATCTCTGCAACTTTTTGATCCATTTTGAGATTTATTTGAGTCTCTGGATCTTGGTTGGTTAATGAGCTATGTGGAGGTAAATGAGCTCATATGGTATCAGAGGTAGTTTGTGAGCATGACTACCAGGCTCCCAGAAGAACAGTGGGATGGGGGGAAGTTTGCCCAATCCAGACTTCATGAGAGCCGCATACACATAACCCTCATTTCTAAGTTTCCCAACAGATTCATTTATGGATGAGGCTTGTCCAGAGCCTGTGGAGTCTGGCCATAGGTATGGCAGCAACTGGATTATGGAGGTTTTCGGCTGGGTCCCACTAGGCAGTACTCACTCCTGGATATGCTCAGGGGACCATATGAAATCTGGGTTGGCCACATGCAAGGCCAGTGCCCTCCCTGCTATACTATTGCTCTGGTCAGGTTACTATCAGGCAGGTTTTCGTAAGAACAGTCTATTACTTAACATCAGATTCTAGTTAAATTGTGTATATACTTTTCACTTCCACAAGTATACAAAGTTTGAAATGCTTTAGATATAAAATGTTTAAGCAACATACCAATATTTATTTCTGGGGGGCAGGGAGGCATACCCAGTGCTTGGGCACTCCTGGTTCTCTGCTCAGGGATCACTCCTGGAGGTGCTCAGGGCACCATCTAAACACTTTACCTGCTGTATTGCTCCTGGTGGAGCTATCCACCTGGGCGGACATGTGGGATGTGAGGGATCCAGCCCAGGTCAGCTATATGCAAGATTAACGCCTTACCCGCTGTGCTATTGTTCTGGCTAAGGTGGAAGGATTCAAAGTTGTGTTGTGTCTACAGGAAACCAAAAGACTTGCTGTTTCTTTTAAGTTAGATGCTGTAGGCTAGAGAGTTAGTACTGCAGGTAATAAGCTTGCCTTAGGCTGTCCCTGGTTTGATCTTCCTCTGCTTTTGGTTCCCCTGCAGCACCAGAGCAGCAGTCCTGAGCCCAACTGCATATAACAATCTGATGCCCTCTCCGCCCCAAATAACAAGCACATTTCCTCTGCACAGGTGAAGTGGACAATTTAGTGCTAATGTCTAAAAACTTATTATGACTAATAATCTTGGAGCTTGCAACTGCAAATACATTTATTACTTTGGAAGACAGAAGAAATTCAGGAACTGCCTTCGCCTCCGTCCCCCCCCCCCCCCCTTTAGGCGGAGATTAGGTCCAGAGTGCAAGTCAAACCCATTATCCCTGTATTCTTTCCAGTCAACTAGGAACTGCTTTTAACCTTAGCTTTTTTTTTCTTTCCCTTTTTGGGTCACACCCAAAAGCAATGCTCGGGAGTTACTCCTGGCTTTAGCACTCAGGAATTACTCCTGGCAGTGCTCAGGGGACCATATGGGATGCCGGGGATAGAACCGGGGTCCACCATGTGCAAGGAAAACGCCCTACCTCTGTGCTATTGGTCCAGCCCCTAACCTCATTAGCTTTTTTAGCAAACCTGTAGCACTGTAGCACTGTCTTCTGGTTGTTCATTGGTTTGCTGGGGCGGGGCACCAGTAATGTCTCCACTGTGGGAATTGTTGTTACTGTTTTTGGCATATTGAATACGCCATGGGGAGCTTGCCAGGCTTTGCCGTGGGGGCAGGATAGTCTCGGTAGCTGGCCGGGTTCTCCAAGAGGAACAGAGGGATCAAACCTATACAAGATAATTTGAAAAAAATCACAGAGGAGTTTTACTTTTTTTCTGGGGACGGGATTTGGGCCAAACTCTGCCGGGCTCAGGAGTGGGCCCCTAAGGGGCTCTGGAAACCAGCTGAAATGTGGATTCCCTCCAGGGTGTGCAGAATGCCAGGCAAGCGCCTTAACCCTGGCCTATGCCAGTTTTCAATAATAAATATAAAGATTTTTCTAGAGATAATAAACCAATTTTCCTGATATTTTCAAGGCTTATTCACCCCAACACAAGAATAAAGTATATGTTCTCTTATCGACATTTGCCTTGTTCACTTTGTAAGTATGAACACTTATTCAGAGTAAAGGATTTGATGTCTTCCTCCTTTCCAGGCTTGATTTCAGATTTCCTTTGGTCTTTTCTCAGGGCTTTTGTTTTATTTAGGGATTAAGAGCCTTACCGGTCTTCCCCTTTTGTTTCCTCCTTTGATTTACCCAAGGCCAGTCCAGATCTTGGATGTATGTGCAATTCTTAAACAATCTTCCCGTTTGGTTTCAGAGACTACCAGGAAAACCTAGTGCATGCAAAATCTCTCATAACATGAAACCGGTTTTAAAAACCTTGATGAAACACAACTGAAAATCTACAAGAGGGAGAAGCTTGCTGAATGGCCACAGCAAAGCTCCCAGGAAAGACCGGGGAGAGCAGGAGACCTCCGGAACAGATGCGCCTCGAGGCGGAGCCGGTGCAGGGAATGGCTGGAGGTTCCAGGGCGTGGCTCCGTTTAAGTGTAAAGCTGGACAGACTTCCGTGCCTCTGGCGACGAAGCTTTTGCTCGGTCTCCAAGGAGCAGAAGGTGTCAAAGTAGGACGGCGCTGAACACAAGTTAGCAGCTACCTACGGGAAGTCCCGGAAGAAACGGGGTGGGGGTTTGTCTTTTGAAGGTACTTCCGCTTAGCAACTCCACGCGGTTGCCAAGGAGGGGGGCAGCAGCTGCAATGACCCGGAAGTAGTGGTATCTTGTTCTCCGAGTCGGCTCAAAGTTTGTCCTATGGGGAGCGCCGGGCGTTCTGCTCCCGGGCCGGGGGCGGGGCCAGCACTAGTGGTTCCGGTTCGGCTCCTGCCGCCCATCGGCTCCCTGCATCCCCCTCCCCTCCCGCACCTCTCCTTCCTCCGGCTCCTGGGAAAGAGAGAAGCCACCGCTGCGGGTGGGTGGGGTAGCCCGGGGCGCCTTTGGCAGGGGATCGCATCCGTCGGCACCAAGTCCCGGAGCACGGCCAGACCAGGTACCGGCTCCGGTTTGGCGAGGCTGGGGAGTGAGTATGTGTGTGTGTGTATGTGTGTGTGTATGTGTGTGTGTGTATGTGTATGTTGTGTGTGTGTGTGTGTGTGTGCGCGCGCGCGTGTGCGCGTGTCTGTGCAGGGGGACCCCGCTCGCTCAGAGTTTGGGGTGGCCAGCTTCGGCGAGTCTGGGGAGTGTAAGAGGTGTCTGTCTCGCTGAGAGTTTGGGGTGCCCGGTGGAGGCTGCGGAGGAGGCGCTCCCCGGGGACGAGACTCAGGCTGGTGCGGATGGCCCGCCTGCACCCGGGGAGCGTAGGGGTCTCGGGGCAGTCCTCGCTCGCCCTCCCTGCCCGCCGCGCGGAGCCGGAGCCCTTGCTGGGAGAGTCGGCGGGGCCCCGCGGGGAGCCGCCCTTGGCTGAGCGAGGGCTGAGAGAACTCGTTCCTCCCCGCAGCTTCCGCGCACTGCTCCCCCTCCAGTGAAGGAGGAACTTCACCGCTCTCCCCTGCATCTCCTCTCCCCCACCCCCTTTCATGTGGGCAGGTATCCCCTCGGAAAAGAAAAGGAGGTGGGGGGCTGGATGTGCTGCCCCCTGAACGATACTTTCACTCCTCGCAGAGTCCCAGCTCTCTATATTAAATCTGATAGCAGTTATCAGAAAAGTGCATTTCTGTAAAGCGCACGACTGACTCCAGGCTCATCTGGCATCGCCCAGTGTGGTGGATAAAAGGGTTGATGAAATGCAGAGTGGGGGAGCAGCCCAGGTTTAAGCGAGGCATGTCGAGGCAAGCCCCTTTCTTTAACCTGCTCATGTGCCTGCCCCAGTTTACTCGGAGCAGAAAGCTCTATGTATCTAGGTATCTAGGTATCCCGGGATGCGCACAGGTATCCCGGGATGGAGCCCGTGCGTGTGCTGGGAGCAGGTCCCCCGGGGTCACAGAGCCCCGGGGCCCAGCTTTTAATAAAAGATGATCGGATCAGCTGTACAAGTCTTGCCTTTGAGGCCGGTAAGCCTAGAGCCTGAATCCAGCCACCGTGGGCGAGGCTTGCAATTGACAAGAGATTCCGTTTCTCCGCCAGGAATGTTACAGGTTTATCAGTATTGTAAAGGTGACAAGGTATTTAAGTAAAATGTTCCTAAAGGAAGCAAGTTTCTAATTGAAGTAGGAATTAGGGTCGTTAATCTTACCCCGCCAGAGGAACTAGGTTGAAGTAGGACGGGAACTGGATCTTTCAAAACATGTGCACGAAGGGACTTTCTAAGTGGCTGCTAGACATTAACCATAAGTACTGTGAAATTCAGCTACTTGTTTCCGACAGCTCAAAAATAACACAGAATGTGTGCTTTTATTAAAATGACCAAGATAGGTTTCAAAGAGCGGTCTCAGATTTGTGGTGGTAGCGTAGATGGATTGCTAAGAAAACATTTTAAAGTAATGTATATAAAATTTTATTAACATCATCTGTCTTTGAAGAGAATTTAAATTGTGACATAAACTAGAAATTAGTTGTAACTTTAAGAATAAAATCAACTACTAAGCACTGCTAGGTGTGACCCTCACAACGTCACCACCATGACTCAACAGATTTAAGTACCCAAACCTAGATTTATGTAATGTTTTGTAAAATAAGTGATTTTTCTTAAATTTATGATAATGTAATAATAAAAAAATGAAGTCTTTATATTTTGTATTTAAAATAGTAGTTATGTCAGATTTTAGTTTTAGTTTGTTTTTTAATATTTGATTTTAATATTTGATGTATTTTGGCTTTTGGGTTACACTGGCAATGCTCAGGGTTTACTCTTGGCTCTGCACTGAGGGATCACTTCTGATAGGGTGACCTTATGTGGTGCTGCGGACCATGTGTAAGACAAAGGTCCTGTTCACTGTACTATTGCCTCTGCTCCTTTAGACTTTTTTTGGGTATGACCCAGTGATGCTCAGAGATTACTCCTGGTTCTCCATTCAGGAATCCTCCCTGGCAGAGCTCTGGGAGACCATCTGAGATGGGATGCTGGTATTGAACTTGAGTCTGCTGTGTGCCAGGCAAGTGCCTTCCCCACTGTGCTATTGCACTGGACCCACCCTTTAGTCTGTTTTTATATGCCACTTGTAATTAGTAGTTTAAAATTTTTAAATCTTTAGACCTAAAGAGAAAGTATAGTCGGTAGGGCATTTGCCTTGCATATGGTGGACCCGGGTTTCTATCCCCAGCATCCCATATGTAACCCCACGTACTGCCAGGAGTAATTTCTAAGTTCAGAGTCAGGAGTAACCCTTTAGCACCTGATGTGGTTCACCCCCCATTTGAAAAAAATATTTTTTAAAAGTTATTTTGTGGGGTGGGTGGCTTGACCATAACCGTGGCTGTTCTGTGGTTAGGGCTTATTCTTGGCAATCATGAGGAATTGTGCCAGGAATTGAACCAGGGTAGACACATGCAAGGCAGGCATCTCAACTCGGTGTAACCTCTCTAGCCCCAAATATAATTTTATAAAGGATATAACTTTTTTTTTTTGAAAAGAGCAAGGCAAGCATAAAACCTTGAACACTGCCAAAGGTAGTCCCCAAACCAAATAAAAACTAAGAAACCCAAATAATTTGTTCTAATAATGTTGTGTGTGTGTGTGTGTGTGTGTGTGTGTGTATTTTGAAATTTGGTGTAAATGGGCCAGAGATATATTACTATAGGAAAGGTGCTTGCCTCCCTGCTGCTGACCTGGGTTTGAGCCCCAGAGCCATATATGGTTCTGCAGCTAGGAGTGAGTCCTGAGTACAGCCAGGTGTGACCCCAAACAGAAACCAAAAAAAAAATTCGGTATAACTTTTGAACAAATATTGCATAATTTTGAGAGAAAGTTTCAAATATACTTCCCTGTGTCTATCTTAAAACAGTTTACTATCTATCTTAAATAGTTTACTCTTTCCTGTATTTTTATTTTTTAGTTCTGGACATAGAAAATAGTCTTCTTTATGCAAGACATGTATGTACTGTACTTTTACTTCTGTGCCACATCCCTAGCATAGATTTTTTTCTTTTAAAATAAGTGGAGGGGCTAGAGAGCTAGTATAGCATTTAGGGTAGTTGCCTTGAGTGAGGCAACCCAGGTTCAGTTCCCTGTACCCTATATGGTATCCTGAGCACGGCCAGGAGTGTAGTCAGGAGTCAGCCCTGAACATCACTGCATGTGGCCCCAGAACAAAACCAAAAACAACCTGATATGGGGCTAGAGATATATAGTACAGCAGGTAGGACACTTGCATGCAACTGATTGTGGTTTGATTTCTGGCATTCCATATGTTATCCCTGCCCCATCAGGAGTGATTTCTGAGTACCCCAAGCCACAGGTGTGGCCTCAAAACACAACAAAAATAAGATAAAACAGATAAAATGGTTGAACTTTATTTAATAGAAATACTGTCTCTTTGGGGCTGGAGCGATAGCTCAGCGGTAGGGCGTTTGCCTTGCATGCAGCTGGCCCGGCTGAGCCGGGTTTGATTCCTCTGCCCCTCTCGGAGAGCCCAGCAAGCTACTGAGAGTATCTTCCCTGCACGGCAAAGCCTGGCAAGCTACCCGTGACGTATTCAATATGCCAAACACAGTAACAACAAGTGTCACGTTGGAGACGTTACTGAGTCCGCTCAAGCAAATCGATAAACAACGGGAGGACAGTGCTACAATGCAGTGCTATTGTCTCTTTTAGGCCAGAGCAGTAGTATAGCAAATATGGCACTTGTCTTTCACACAGCTTGCACGTTCCATCCTCAGCAACCCATATGGTTCCCTGAGTTCTGCCAAGAGTAATCCCTGAGTGCAGAACCAGGAGTAAGCCCCACTGGGTTTAACCCAAAAGTTAAAAAAAAAAAAAAGCAACAACAAAACTCAAAAAACTCTTAAATTTTATTCACCATGTAAGCTCCAAATAAATTTTGGTTTAATGAGATTTTATATGCACACATGTTTATATATTTATTTGTTTGGGAACTGTACCTGGTTCTGCTCAGGGCTTACTCTTGTCTCAGAAATCACTCCTGGAGGTGCTTGGTAGGACCATTTGGGATGCTGAGAATTGAACGTGGAATCTGGGAATGTTGGGAATGCTGGGAATCTGCTGCATACAAGGCCAGTGCCTAAGTTCTATCTGTTCAGCCCTCATGAATGAGCAGATAATATTTTAAGTTTTTGTCATTTTGTTGTTGGGGAGGGTGTCTTTACCCAGTGATGGTGTCTGGGGCTATTTTGGGGAACTTGCTGGTTGTGTGGGTTGCGCTCTCCATTGCTGGGGTATCATGCTGTGCCAGGGATTGAACTCAGGCTTCCTGCATGAAAAGTATTTGTTCCAACCCATGAGTCATCTCACCAGGCATATATTTTTTACTTTAATTTATTATTTCAAAACTTTCTTTGGCTTTTGGACCATACCAGGTGATGCTCAGAGGTAATTACTCCTGGCTCTGCACTCAGGAAATGCGCCTCGCAGCACTCAGGGAACCATGTAGGTTGCTGGGGATCAAACTAGGCTTGGCCGTGTACAAGGCAAGCACCCTACCTGCTGTACTATCTCCTTGGCGCTTTAATTTGAATTAAATTTTTTTCTTTTGGTCTGGGATACCAGGCAGTTTCTGGGATGTTACCCAGAAACTATGGGTAACATGAATTATGCATTCACCCATTGAGCAATATATCTGGCCCCTAATTTTTTGTTTGTTTGTTTGTTTTAAAGTTCTGAAGTTGTTAACCTTTTCTGTAGATTTATTTCAAGGTTATTAAAATAGATTCTAAATGACTTTTCTGGTAGTAATTTTCTGGATTACTCTCATTTTCTTTCAAATCTTAAAGCTTTGACTCTGTTAGTTTGCTTAGGTAGAACCATCAGAAGTTCCATTACCCCCCTTCAGTCATCTCATAAAATAATATATCATTTATTTTAATATCAGGTAGGATGCTAGCATTTAAAATAAAAGTTTTACTTAAATGAAAACTTCAGTAGACAGTTTAGAGATA